GAAGGGCTAAGATGCTGAGAACACAGGGCAGGGAATGAGCCCCCTCTGCTCAGCAAGGCCTACAGATAACACACTGTCTTTTAAAGGACTGACCGAAGAGACCAAACCTCCATTCTGGAAGCTGAGAATTCTAGAACTCGGCCTTGAGAGAGGCTCTAACCTTGAGGGGCTGCTTTAAGCAGGGAAACATCTAGAACATTCTGGCCAGCAGGCTATTTATTCCCTCTGGACCTCTCCCTTAGGGACAGATGGGCGTGCCTCCCCCTAGTGTCACTGCGTCCTGACGGTGACGTTCTCCCAAACCATGACAAACAACCTACTCCTTGGAAACGCACCGAAAATAGGGAGGAGATGGCTCAGGCGACGCACGCCGTTTCTACAGCCTAAGAGGAGTATTCTGCTGGTGGATGGCGGAGCAGGCTCCCTTTAGGGGCTGACTTGGTGTGACGAAGGCCCACAGATTCCCACACAGTCATCAACAAACTGGAAAGAACTCTGAGGCAGTTAAAGGAAGAGGAATTTTCACAGCCTCATGTAAGTTGCTCCTTTGCTTGGTAGCCTGTGCTTTGAGGAATATTAAATATTAAATAGATACCAGTGAGGGGCTTCCCTGGTGGCGCAGTGGTTGGGAGTCCGCCTGCCGATGCAGGGGACATGGGTTCGTGCCCCGGTCCGGGAAGATCCCACATGCCGCGGAGCGGCTGGGCCCGTGAGCCATGGCCGCTGAGCCTGTGCGTCCGGAGCCTGTGCTCCGCAATGGGAGAGGCCACAACAGTGAGAGGCCCGCGTACTGCTAAAAAAAAAAAAAAAAAAAAAATAGATACCAGTGAAATGAATGCCCAATAATTTCAGATGAGCTGGGAAAACCTTAATTGGCTGAGACGCGGCTGGCGGTTGCTTCTTAGTCCGTGGCATCCTAACCAGCCAACCAGAATTAAGTAAACTGTTTCTCCGGACTATTTCAAACATACATGTCTAATGAAATGGACATATTCTTCAGGAGCAAATGATTTTTTGTTCTGTAGTTACAAGAAAAACTAAAAATGACAAAGTTATCATATAAATTCTCTTCCTGGGGTATCCTCCCACTTGCCGTGCTGACTCCCATCTCACCATGGGAGGCCTGGTGTTCTCTCCTAATCATGAAAGCACTGGATTCAGGGTTAGGAAGCCTTTGGAGCAAAAGTAGGTCCTCCACTGGTGGTCAGAATGAAAGAATTCTGCCCCAAACCACCATAATTTCTTGAAGGCCTTCTTAATTTTTAGATGTTTCTTAAGATGAGATAAAGACTCCCCTGCTGGCACAGTGGTTAAGAATCCACCTGCCGATGCAGGAGACACAGGTTCAAGCCCTGGTCCGGGAAGATCCCACATGCCGCGGAGCAACTAAGCCTGTGCGCCACAACTACTGAGCCCACGTGCCACAACTACTGAAGCCCGCGCGCCCAGGGCCCGTACTCCGTAACAAGAGAAGCCACCGCAATGAGAAGCCCGCGCTCCGCAACGGAGAGTAGCCCCCGCTCGCCACAACTAGAGGATCCCTGTGCGCAGCAACGGAGACCCAATCAGCCAAAAAAGACGAGATAAAGTATATGCTTGGAGGGGATGCTGAGTGAGCACATTAGGAAGATGAGACATACTGTTTCCTTAACAGACAGCAGAGTCCTGAGGGAACGGGATACAGAACAAGTGTGCTCAGATGAGGCACGACAGGAGGATGGGATGACCTGGTACCAAGAGGACTCTGGGATATGAAGCCGAAGGGCAGTACAAGGACACTAATGATGGGGACCAAGGAAAAACCAGAGCAGAGGCAGAGAGGTCCCAAAGCCAAGGCTGATTTACCCGACACTTTTGAGGATGGCCAGTGTTCCACTGCGCTACCTCACACTGCTTGTCCATCCCCTTACTATCCGTGTCCCCAAGCTTCTTGACAAGGGTGTGCTCTCACACCACGTCCCCTGCCTGCCTGCCTGCCATGTATAAGACGGAAGACCAGAAGCGCAGAGGACGGAGGGCCTGAGGGCTTGCTAGTGGCCAGGACGAGAAAGAAGGAAGGAAGAAAGATGGGGGGATGGGAGGACAAGAGGGGTAGGAGGAAAGAGAAAAGGGGGTATTCAGCATAGGAGTGGACCTTCGTTACAATCCTACAGCTTCATTTTCCAGAGAAGGAACCAGGCCCAAAGAGGCTGTGAACTGGGCCAGATCACTTAGGTAGGTAGCGACAGAAGTGAAACTCTCACCCAGACCTCAGATTTCCAACTCGGCGTCCATTCATCTAGTTTATAAGAGGAAAGGAAAGGGTAGAAGTACCAAATATCACCAATAATGAAAGCGCAAAATGCAAATGAAAAACAGAAAAACTCTTCACAGGAAATTGAGAAGATTCTAAAAGTCAGTCCATTTAGTCTCTATGACAAAATAATAGAACCCGAGGCAGTGAACTAAAGAAAGCATCCTGAGTCTGGTCGGAGCAAACCCTGACTTCTCCACTGACAGGCAGTGTGACCGGGGGCAAATTTCTAAACCTGTCCAGGCCTCAGTTTCCTTAATCATGAAATAGGGATAACGGTAGTATCACCCTTCACACACATTTTGTGAAGATCAAAAAATCGTGATCCGTGGCAAAGAGCTTTCGCAACAGTGTCTGGAGTATAAACACTTAATAAGCCTTTGTGGTTACTATTATGATGATTACTACAGAGCTACTACAACCAGGGACAAATTCGTTTTTCTTACTAGAAAAATGCAGTAAAAAATATTCATTGGTGGTTTCTCTGTATGGGCAAGCGTATCTATTTTCTTTGGGGCTAAATGAGTTTATCTTTCTGATTTTCCCACAATATAAAAAGCATCCTTTTGCTTTTGTCTTTGGTGAGGCGTGCTTCCTTCTGATGTCACCTTACTCTTTCTTCCACTGCAGAGAAAGTCCCAGTCTCAGTTTCACAACTAAATGAAAGGTTGCTTCTTAGCAGAGTGGCACAAGTTCTCACCACGCTACCAGGGCCGAGGTGTAGGATGGAAACAAGGAGGCGGTGACATTTCTACATTTCATTACTCTTGTTTTCCGTAGGAAGTCAACTGGACTTGGATTAGAGCTGAGATTAGGAATCCTCAGTCGGAAAGAGTTCACGTGGCACCATACATTTTTCACCATCTGTAAAATGGGTACCACAACGTTGAACCAATTGATATGAAAGGGGAACAGCAGGCTCCTGGGTTCCAGCAGTGTTATTTCTTCGACCTCTCAGGTGATAATCCTCTGACCACTGATCCAGTGGCTCAAAGACATACCTCCCCTCTCTCCTTCCCCTTCCCCATCCTCATACCCATGTGGATTTCTTGGGCTATCTCATTTAGAGACCTGACTCCTGAAGGGTTTTACATTCCTGGTTATTTTTAGCCTCATTTAGTCAAAGTCTTCAAACACGGTCACCACATGGCATGCAGCTGTGGAAAGCACCTGCTGTGGTCTGATTTCCAGTCAGCATTACTTGACATTTCTTATCAGGTGATTTCTAAAATTCCCTGTTTTTTTTCAGGTGATCCCAAGAACTTCCCCCCCCCCCCCCCCGGTGTCTTAGGTGTGACACCTGAGCTGGGCATCCGGTAAGCTGCCCCAGATTAGGGATGAGTCCAGAACCCTGCTAGAAAGGAAGACGTATTTCAGCTTCGGGGACTCAAAATTTCTCTGCCCCAGAACTATCAGGTCTGGGACGAGAGACACTGCGGTGGGCTCTGGTTCTGACAGCTTCCTTAAGGCCCTCCCTCTAAGCTTTCCAATTTCAGAAAGGGGGCCACTGTCTCTTGGGGTCTCAGGAAGAAAGCAGAGAGGATGAATGAAGCAGCTGGCAGGCCTGCGGGGAGCCTACCTTCAGTGACAACAGCTAAAATGTACAAGAGGCTGGGTTACTCAGCTGGAGGGAGAGCTGGGCTGGACCGCGTGCTTCCTGCCGCTTCTCACCATCTTTTCTCCCCAGACACTTACCTCCCCATCTCTCTGGGTCATGCAGCTGTTAGTCTATTGGTTTCACCCACATACACCCATCTGCCATGATGCTTTTGCCTTCAGGCCTTTCTGCACAGGCTGTTCCTGCCTGGAAGGCTCTTGGTCCATTTTCCAGACCAACTTCTATTTGTCATTTGATTCTCAACATCAGCATCACTTTTGGGAGCCTTTTCTGATCCTTCAAGACAGGGCTGTCTCTTCAATGTACTTATTAACACACTGGATTGTAATCGCCTGTTTACTTATCCAGTACGCCCTCCCCACAAGTAGATTGTAAACTCCTGGGCAGGGTTGGGGTCTGGTCCTCTGTTGTCTCTCCACTTCCTAGCCCAGTGTCTGGCCCAGCACATAGTAGGTGGTCTGTAAGTATTTGATGAATAACGTTCCAGACTCACCAAGAACTCCCTCTTTTTTTCCCTCCCTCCTATACATTTTTTCAGACCGTATCCAGCTCTGCTCCTCAAATCAATTCTCTAAGCCTCTATTTCATCACTGTATCGATTCAGATCACGTCCTTTGTTAATTCTGGGTTTGAAAAAAGTCTTCAATTGTGCTTATAGGTATGAAAAGGTTACGCTGTAGACACCTGGATAGTGTCCGTGTCTAAGAGAAATACATCAAGGAAAAGTGGAAACCGGGGCTGGATAATTGGAAGGAGTTAGAGACTTTTCCTCTGTCTCCTAGTCATTCTCCTGCATGAAGCCTTTGTTTTTTGTGGCCTGGTAAGTCTGGACCCCTATTTTCAAGGCATAGTTCTTTTTTTTGGCCGTGTTGGGTCTTCGTTGCTGCGCGCGGGCTTTTCTCTAGTTGCGGCGAGCGGGGGCTACTCTTCGTTGTGGTGCGCGGGCTTCTCATTGCGGTGGCTTCTCTTGTTGCGGAGCACGGGCTCTAGGCATGCGGGCTTCAGTAGTTGTGGCTCGCAGGCTCAGTAGTTGTGGCTCACGGGCTTAGTTGCTCCGCGGCACGTGGGATCTTCCCGGACCAGGGCTCGAACCCGTGTCCCCTGCATTGGCAGGAGGAGTCTTAACCACTGCACCAGCAGGGAAGCCCCAGGCACAGTTCTTCTTGATGAGGAGATAGCAGAGGTTTCCAACCAAGAAAAATCTTCCATTGACCACCCGGAACTGTTTTCCATTTCCTTTCGAGAGAATTCTTACAGTGGAGAGGAAGTGTTCTGTCACATACGGGCCCCACGAAGTCCCTTCTTCTCCCCACCCCTAACTTTCTGCTCCCGGCAGATAGGAGCTGATGCCAGGGCCCGCAATTATCAGCAGTGCCATACAGCACCACCGCTGGTCTCTCCACGATGACTTTTCATAGGACTGTTTTTCACCTTTTCACAATGGGTGTCTTTCCCCAGCCCTCACCATCAAGTGGTATCTTTATGCAGCAGTATACGTGGTGTTTATGATGACAGCACATGCCTCTCATAACTGTAACACAGTATTTGGCATGGGATTCAACTTTTTGCCTGAAAAAAGGTCCCAGGAACAAGACCTCCATCCAAACGCAGGGCTTCAGAATGACACTGGTGGCATCTGAAGCCGTGTCTGGTGCCTCCAGATCCACCCTGTATGCTGGTGAGATAACTGGCTGGTGGTGGCCCACCACAGCAGGGGGGGCCCGCGTGGCTATCCGAGGGGTGTGGGCAAGATGAGTGGTGACTGGGTGTCTAGTCTGTTGAGATACTGCCAGGCACCGTGGGCCAGGGGCCAAGGATCTGCTTCCTGCCCTTGCTGGCTTGACATTCTAGAGATGCCCTGTCAGACAGGCAGAGGCAAGATGTTCCCCGCACGAGTCAAAGCTAAGCAAACGCAAAACAACTTGATTCTCATGTAACAAAACTGGCCTGTTTGGGGTCTACCCAGTGTAAGGCTTGTGCCCGTCCTGGCCCACCAGGTTTGGGGGAAGAGGGTGTCCTGACTGGAGGACACGTTTAACGTCCTCTGCCCTCTGGAGGGCTGGCTGCGAGACACCCAGGACCCCGCGGCTTCTGCAGATGGCAGAAAGTACACAGATAACAAGCACAAGGGCAGTGCAGGGAAGCTGGTCTCCTCAGATTCAGGAAGTCAAGAGGGAGGGTAGCTAACCCTTCCATAGAACTTGGGGGTATGTGCGTGGGAATTATGGGGATGGGCAGAGGGTGGGCTGAAGAACAGCCCCGCAAAAGGTATCCACATCCTGACCCCTGGGACCTGTGATTGTAACATTATATTGCAAAAAAGGACATTGCAGATGTGATTACATAAGGATCCTGAGACAGGGAGAGTATCCTGAATTATCCAGGTGGATGCTAAGGGCAATCACAGGTGTCCTTGTAAGAGGGAGGCAGAGGGAGACTTGACACGGACAGGAGAGAAAGATCAGTGAGGCAGAGACTGGAAGGATGTGGCCACGGGCCAAGGGGTGCCGGCTGCCCCAGAAGCTGGAGGAGGCAAGGAGCAGATTCTCCTTAGGGCCTCTGGAAGGAGCACAGTACTGCTAACCCCTTGCCTTTAGGCCAGAATCAAATCAGCGATACTGATTTTGACTGCTTTCGGCCTACTGACCTGCGGTACTGTGAGAAAACAGGTTTCTGTTGTTTAAGCCAGGGGTCCCCAACCCCCAGGCCGCAGGCAGGTGCTGCTCTGCGGCCTGTTAGGAACCGGGCCGCGCAGCGGACGGTGAGCGGCGGGCCTGTGAGCGAAGCTCGCGTTACCGCTCATGGAAAAACAGTCATCCACGAAACCAGTCCCTGGTGCCAAAAAGGTTGGGGACCACTGGTAAGCCACCAAGTCTGTGGTTATTTGTTACAGCAGCAACGAGAAACTAAGCTACAGTTTAGGTAGATGGGCCAGTTGATAAGACTTCTGACTCAGTTCCAACAAGCATTATAGTGGGGGAGCAATAAAAGAGAACAAGCATTTCATAGTATTATATTCACTACGTGGAGCCAGTATCAAAATTCGGAACGAACACACACGCCCACCCCTCCTGGATGTGAATCAGCAACTGCTCTTATCTAGCTTTGCAGCGTTAGGCCATCTCTAGAGTAATTCACTGCAAATTGGAACAGGCAGCTGTGAATTGAAAAAGAGAAGTGTGGGACCATCTCCCCCAGCTTAATCGGGGAGAGCCCAAGAAGGCATCGCGGACGCACGATGGAGACAAGAAGGGAAGCAGAGGAAGATGAGGAGAGGCTTCCCTTTGAGGTGTGCACACCCTGGTCAGCGGGGAGAGGAACACACGCCTCAGAACAAGGGAAGGGAAGGACCTGCCTGCACCTCTAAGAAGCTGCTCGCTCAGGAAGAATAAGGGGTGAAGGAAGGCCTGACCCTTTTTCTGTTCCATCTTAAAACTCTTCCCTAGGGATAAGTGGTATCCTCCCAGGCGGTGATTTATTTTTAAAAAGAGGACTACAGGGGCATCTGATTTCTGGGTGCGCTTCGTGGCCGCGGCCAGCATGGGTGGTACGGGTGCCGCTTTGGGTGGGTGCGATCTTTGGGCTCCTGTGTCATTTGGGGGGTGGGGTGGGTGTCATTTAGCTTAGGGAACGGCTTCCAGCTTAGGAGGCTATGGTGTTTCTATGGTCTCTCCAAGGGAAGACGAAGGGGCACAGGAGGTGAGAAATGCCCGGGGGCAGGGACGATCACCCTTTCCCTGGGCCCGGCAGCAATACCAGAGGCTCCCCAGAGACAGGCTCCCGGCCACAGAGGAGGCCCTGTGCTGACTCCCCGCGGGTCCACAGACGTGGGGACCAGTCCCCTCACTGTGGCTGGGACCACAGCCCCGGGCTCCCAGTTGGACGGACCCCTGAACGATAACGTCTTAAACCCCCAATTCATTTCCTGTCAGCGCCACTTACTAAACATGCGCAGTATCTGCGGCACTGGAGGGGGAGGGGAGGTCGGCACAGAGGAGGCTGTGTGAGGGTTTGCAGGAAAAGCACAGTGGACCCTAAACAACACGGCCTTGAACCGCGCTGGTCCCCCTACACACGGATTCGTACTCCACCATCTGAGGTTGGTTGAGTCTCTGGGTACAAAGGAACAAGGTGTATGGAGGGCCGACTATATCTACCTGGATTTTCGACTGCGGGGAGGGTTGCACCCCTAACCCCCGTGTTGTTCAAGGGCCAGCTGCAGTGGGCACAGTCTCCTTTCTCCGGGGAGAAGCAAAGACAAAGACCCAAACCAGACAAAGATACGGGTGGCACGTGTCTTAAGGCCCTGACCCCAAGAGGAACTAGCAAAGGAGCCGGAAGCTGTGTGCTCATCAGGCCCCCACTTCTCCTGCCTCCGCGGTCTTTGGTTTTAAGTCTTTTTGTCCATCTGTAAAATGGGGTTAGTATAATTACAAATGGCTGGGCTTAGTAAAGACAATTGAAGGTGATAATGTATGTGAAAGCGCTTTTTAAGTCACAGTAATTGTGTCCCAACCTATGGTATAATAATGTCCAGCATAAGGAAATATAAAACATGATACTAAATGAGGGGTAGAAAAAAATACGGACTGTTAGCTTCATGCCAAGAATAGAATAATTTCACTGTGACTCATCAGGACACTCCGGGACAATAATAAGAGACATCTTTCCAGGCCTCCAAGAGCCGATCTACCCCGACTCCAGCCACAGGCAGTGGTGCCCATGCCAGGACCACACTCCCCAGCCTCAGGGCTTGAGCCTGGATGGAGGTCATGTGATACAGAGTGGACCTTCCTTGGGAGTCATAGATTTTGAAGTAGGAAAGATGTTCTCTTTCCTGGAAGTTGCTATGCTGGCATGATACAAGCCTGCAGCTTCCCATGGCCACTTTTCCCCCTGTGTAGAAGAAGCCTGTAGTAAGACAGAATGAGGCCAACACACAGAGACTGGGGGGAGTGGGGCCGAGAGAGTCTGGCTCGGGGAAGAAAAAAGGGTCTTGCTTCTAGTGCTTAAGCCCCCAGGGTCCTACAACTCTGTGAGTTCCTTCCAGGCGATTCGATTTTGGGTTTCAACTGGTCGCTTCATCTGAAAGAGCTCTGATTTATAGTGTGAGCTTACTGTGCAATACTAAATAAACCTTGATGAAGGGCAAATAAGAATGTTGTTGGAGAAAGATTCTACAGAGGTCATTGTTTTTCCTGAAAAACATGAGATCAGCTCAGCATTTGGAGATATCAATCCCCAGTTTTCTAAACCTGGCTCAGCATTAACCACCTTCTGTATTAATCAAACAAAAAGGCCACGTGCATGCGGCATGATGACTACCAGGAGAAGCTAGATTATTCTAACACCTGACGAGCACGACCGGCATGGGGAAGTGAATTCAACATATACACAGAAAATAATGCTGCAATGTGGACAAGAGTGACTGGGACAACAGTTCAGCTTCTAGACTATTAAGCAGCAGTTATTATTTTTCATACTGTTTGCTTACTGAACAGGAAAAATTCATGTTTCAACAGTAGCATCAGGACTCACAACATGGTACTATCGTAGAGGCCACTGAACTTAAAGCTTACACTCGCTCTTAATGGCTACATCGTTATGTGGCTGCAAACCACCATCACCAGAGAGCTGATCTGCTGTGGCGTGGCATCTACTCCATCACGCTCCTGTCGGGTAAGAAGGCTCTCGAGGCCCTACCCTGCACCATCCCTGGCTCCAGTATGGCTATTGAGAATTCCATTGACGACATCCAGCTTAAGCAGCGGGAAGACAGTTCTCTGAAACAAGTACCAGAGACAAAGGAATGATAAAAATATGAATCTTTCTCTGAGCCCTTTTCTGGTCTCCATCTTTCTTTTCTCTTTTAACCAGACAGGACCTGCCGTCTTTCGAACCTCTACACAAGTTTATATCTGCTACGAATAGGGCCTACTCAATGACACGAACCCAGAAATTAAGAGACTGTAGCAGATGAAACAGTATAGTCCCAACCCCTTGTGGTGACCCACGGCCTTAAAAGAGGTGCCCACAGTGGGGGTATTCGGATTAATCTAAGAAGCATAAATGGGGGATTATTCAAAGTCCAAGAGAACCAGTACTGGGTAGACGATCTCACTAAAAATTCGATGTGCATCTTAGAATACGTAGAGACTGGTGTGTCCATTCTGTCACAGCAGAGCTGAGGCCCTCTGCTCCCATTACTGGGTATAAAACAATTCTATTTACCTTTGTCCACACGAAGGTTATTTTGCACGGTGGTATGAAATGAATGAGAGACGCTCTTTAAGAAGCCAGCCTTCATTATGGCAGCTTGCTTCCCTGGGCTTTCCAGGTCAATGAATTCAGCCAATAGTTGGTTTTCTACCTTCGCTCCTGTCCCTTGATGTCCCTGAAGTGCCTGACGTGGTGGCTTTAGAACCCCCTCTTATGTGGCCTCCGTGGTACAGCATGTTCTCGTCTTCCTGCTCTTTAACGTTCCCGTCCTCTTCTCCCCACCTCTCCCCTCTTCCTCCATGTGTATGGCTTCACTTCTATATGCTGATAACTCCCACATCTATACCTATAGCCCATCTGAATCCCCAGCCTTAGACTCAGCGGCCTCCTGGGCATCTCCTCTTGGCTGGTTTATTGTACAACCGCCCACCTGAGAAGCCTGCAGGTGCTCCTAGACTCCACCCTCTTTCTCTCACCACGTCTCTCCTTTCATCCTTACTACCCCTACTACGCCTCCACTACCCACACTTCCATCGAATCTCACCCAAATCACTGCAACAGCTTCCTTTCCAGTCTCCCTGCCTCCCCTCCACTCCTGAAGCTGCAACCAGAATGATCTTACAAAGATATAAACGTGTAAGTTACAAATCTGATCTCTTGCTCGAAGCTCTCCTTGAGCTCCTCCCTGCTCTCAGGAACAAGTCCAAACTGTTGCCGCCATCTCTGTGATCTGCTTGCCTCTCCTGTTCGGGGCTCCAGACCTACTCAACTATTTCCAGATCCTCCTCGGCGCTGCTCGCAGTTCCTGGCTTTCACTTGCCTTTCACTTTGCCAGCACACTCCTTCCTCGTCACCCCTTCCCTAGTCCAAGTTTATCCTAAGGAAATAATCTGAAATGCCAACGTGTATTTATTATAGGATACTCATCGCAGCACAAATTACAATAAAAACCCCCCTGAAAACTACCCAAATGCCAACAAAAACGGTTTTAAAATGACTGCATGAAGTTTTGTGTTACTGGGAAATTGCTTGTAGTATATTAAGCGAGAAAACCAAATTACGAAACTTGCTTTCTCCATCATAACTTCATAGATACTAAAATAGCAGTGGTTATTTCTGCATGGCAAAATCACTGGTGGTTTAAATTTTCTTCTTTAGACTTTTCTATGTTTTTCACAATTTACGCATGAACATGCAGTAATTACTTTCCTGATTAGGAAAAAAACGCAGTGATTTTTTTTTTTTTTTTTTTTAAAGAGGAATATCCCTGAACCAGGTAATATGAGGGTGGATGTAGACAGACCAAGTCTCAAGGGAGGAGTGCTTTGTGTGGAAAGTTTAAATCAACTGGTGTGATATCTAGAAGCTTGTTAGTGATTTCTACAATAATCTGTTGCAAAGGGTGAGGTTAAAAAACAGCTGAAGAGGGTGTGGGAAGTTTCTGCTGATGCTCCCATGACAAATGCTAGGGCTAATATTAACTCCTCATTTTTGGGATGTGTGTTTCCATCACTGAATAAATTCCCTCTGCCCGCTCCTCTTAAACCCTGTTGATATGCGCATGTGTTTCCGTATTGTTGAACCAGCTGGAGGGCCCCAAGAATTGAGTGAGCAAAATATGGTTAACTCTTAAACCCCCCAGCTGCTGTGCTTCAGTCAGCAGGGAGCAACAGGTGGCATCCTTGCCAATCTGTGTGTCCAGCTATGGACAGAGAATGGAAAGTTAACACACAAACGTTTTGTTCTCCAGAAAAATGAAAATCATTCAGCTAAGTCCATACAGCTGTATTCAGTGGCCACTTGTGATACGTCTGTCTTTGCAAAGTAACAGGAGACACTGAGTGCGGGCCTGAGAATATGACATATAAAGGGAGTTTCCCACCCAATCAAGCATGTATGCTATTTCCATGAAAGGTTCTTTTCTGTCTTAATTAAATTTGGAGTTTAATCCATAAGCCATGTTGGAAGAGAAGGGTATCCTTTTGGGAAAATGAAATGAAACTTTTAGCTTACACAAAAACATCATCTTAAAGCATAAAACTGAAAATACAGCATCTTTTGCTCACTTAACTGCGGACTGAATTTTCACTTTATGACCTAGCACAGAGCATTTGTTGCCAAGCATGTATTAAATAACGAAGTAATCAAGTAAATAACTGAAAAACATACTTCTGAAACCAAGAGTTCAATCTTTTGGAAGAGAGACAATATTGTACTAATATAATACTTATAGAAAACCCAATAACATTTAGATAAAATCTTTGAGAATCTCAGAGTGTTTTCCCTGCAGATACAAGCCTGTGGCAACAAGAGGGAGAATGGCCAGTTTCTTATGTGTCACCCTGTTCCTGTGAAGAGCGTCTGTCCTCAAAGACATGAGAGGCAGGAGACAGTAAGAGAGAAGGGAGCAGAGAAGAGTTACAAGTCTCCTAGCCACAGACTCTGATTCTGTTATTTTCTAGATCTGGAAAAAAGGAAACCAGTATGAAATCATAAGTCACGTCTTGATGAGGGACAACAAAAGAAGATCCTATTGTATCAGGTCATTTAAAACTCCAAATTGACTTTCATTGTTACAGCTGGATAAAGTGAGCGAGTTCTTATTGATTTAGATATGAAAATGAACCAGAAATATGGCTGTTTGGGTTAAGTGAGTGATGAACCCTATGTCCTGGCTTAATTTCCTAGATTTTCAAATGGATAATTCTAAAGGCAATGCCAATTTATTAGTTTCTCAGAATTAGATTTCAGTTGAAAAAAAAAAACCAGTATGAATAAGAAAATATTATTATGCAGTATATTTCATTTTAAAGTTTGAATTATTTCTTGGAATCAGACCTGGGTCTGATCTGTAGAATTTTCCACTCGGCAGCCTTAAACATTGGCAATATTCCAACAATTGTTACTGACTCCTTTTAAGCTTCTTTACCCAGGATTTCATTTTGGTGGTTGAAAAAAAGTCCCATGAATCGCATCCTTTCACAGCTAGAAATCGAAGAGTTCACACTTCTTGTCAGCAGGAAGTGGAGGTTGGGAAGAATTCTATTTTTGGAGTTAAAAGGCCACCTTTGACCCAGAAATGTGTGGTTGGATGAAAGACATTTCTCTGTTCTGTCTTACTTGATTTACCCAAGAAATGGAGAAATGCAACTTCAGCGGACTTGTTTCCTCCTAGTGCCCTAAGATAACCCACACTGACCAGGTCTCAAGAATTTTAGATTTTCAGGTGTTTATTTTGGTCTTATGTGACCCATGTCACAATCATTTAAATCTATATTATTCAAAACCTTCCAAGTTGAAATCTTGACTCTTTAAAAAATTTTTTTTATTTTTTAAAGTTTATTTTTTTGGGTATGGACCATTTTTAAAGTCTTTATTGAATTTGTTACAATACTGCTTCTGCTTTATGTTTTGGGTTTTGGCCCCGAGGCATGTGGGATCTCAGCTCTCCGACCAGGGATTGAACCCACACCCCCTGCATTGGAAGGCGAAGTCTTAACCACTGGACCACCAGGGAAGTCCCAAAATCTTGACTCTTGTTCCAAGATATGAGGGTCAGAATTTATTCTTCTAGATCAGGGGATGGGAAATGAACAGTCTGAACCAAGGGCTGGCCGTTAAGTAGCAAAGGGATCCTAGAGAAAGAAATGAATCCACAGAGAAAGAAACGTATCCTAGTACACTGCTTGGCTCTGAAGAAAACTATGTTTATAACATTATAGTAACATAAAGAGGCTAGTTATTGGTTTTCAGCTTTAAAGTCAATCACCAAAGTGTAAATATTAATATTAACAACGTAAAAGTAAAGCTCTAAGTGCCAAAAAATTCAAGCAGGGGCACTTGTATCTTCATTCCACATACTGGTGAGTTAAGAGATGGTCAGGTCTGAAGTTGATGGAGCGTGAAAAAGAGATTCTAGTATATTTTTGTATTTCACAGATTGTAAAAGCTCACATCTTTTCAACCTTTAATATATTTGAAACTGGGATGCTCCTTACTCTTGAGGATACCTTAAAAGTATAATTGGCATGTTGTTTTCCTTAGTGGAATATAAAATAATGGTGCATCTTATAATAGGTGGCATCTTCGATTTGATAATGCAGTATTCTGAGTTGTAAGAGTAACTAATAGTAAACTAAAGACAGTGAAAAAACTAACAGTAATTGGGAGGGAGCGACCAACGGCAGCTA